AGGAAAGGAAAGGAAAGGAAAGGAAAGGAAAGGAAAGGAAAGGAAAGGAAAAGAAAAAAGAAAAAAGAAAAAAGAAAAGAAATGTTTTTCTCTTATAGAAGTTTCCAGTAAAACCTGACACTCTTCTGCATCAAGTCTTGATTTGTTGGTCTGGCTTTCACAGTCCAGGAAATAAGAGCCTAAAACGACACTAAAGTCTCTTTCACTTACTATGATGCCATTTTCATTCTTTGCTTTTCACTACCAGGCACCATGCATTATTTCACCCCTCCCCTTAAAACAAACAAACAAACAAAAATTTGACTATTTTAATGCACTGAGGGCTGCAAAGCTTTAAGTTTAAAGAATCCATTATGGACTAATTTTATACACCAGTGGCAGACTGATTGGCACTTTTGGAAATTTTCAAATTGGTCAGAATCATAAAACCTTTTTTACAGATGAGGACAATGAGGATTAAATTTCTAAGAAAACAAAAGACTGCAGAGATGTCAGTGGCTGGAACCTCTGCTATACTTTCTACTTCTTTCCACTATAAAAAGCTTTTATGCAAGCTCTAGTAATTATTGATGGTTCATATCTTTAGGAACCATGAGTCCAGAAGCTCATGCTCTGTCCTTCTTGACCATGCTGCACCTTGAAAACATCTATTAAATGCTTCTACAGTGCAAGGCACTGTTCCATGTAACTTACAGGTATCCTGTGTTTCAATCTCATGAAAGTCCTAGGAAGTAGGAATAATATTTAGCCCCATTTTCATGCACAAGGATATTGACACATAAAGATTTAACTAAGTTACTTACTTAAAGTAACAAACTCAACCACTAGCTGGCAAGTGGTGAAACTGAAATTGAACATGGTCTATTGCTAGAGCCCACATTCTTAACCATTATTATTGATACATATCCCAGTCACCTGGAATACTTGTCTTAGAGTAACAGGGGGGGTTTATATAATATAATAATGAAAATGCAGTTTCCAATGTAAAAGAAACATTACAACTCAGTTGTTCTCACTATTTTTACAGCTTAAGGACACTCTGAAAGCAGAAACTTTGTAGAGAAAACAGTCCTAGGAGATTGCTTTTAGGAGAATCTAGAGAAAATTTGGAGAATAGCAGATACTGATCTTTCCTTTCCTCCTAACAAATAATCTTTCCAGTACAGTCTGAGTCTTCCTTGACATTCTAAGGAGGAGGGGAGAACATCGCATATTATATGTTCTCACTGAGGATGGTTCAAAAACAAGTTCTCGGGCAGAACTCTGGTGCAATGTGTAGCTATTGTTCTATATTAAGCCATGCATGGGTGTTAAAGGCAATGATATAAACCTTAACTTTATTTATTTATTTATTTATTTATTTATTTATTTATTTATTTAATTTCAAATTCCAGTTAGTTAACATACAATGTAATATTAGTTTCAGGTGGACCATATGGTAATTCAACACTTCCATACAGCACCCCATGCTCATCACAAGTGCCTCCTTAATCCTCATCACCTAGTTCACCCACCCACTCCTTCACCTCTCCTCTGGAAACCATCAGTTTATTCTCTCTAGTTGAGTCTTAAACATTAAATTTTAAACCAACCTTAAAGATAACTATTAGAATGTATGGTCTCATGGGATAATGTTATCCAATGTCTATTGGCTTGTATGCTTTGTCTTGATCTGGGGGACAAATTTATAGTTTACTAAATGTATTTTTTGTACTATCCCATTACTTATGAATCATCCTCTTAAAAACATTATACATAAAATAATTGATGTTGAGTCAGTTGCTTACAGTCTTATCACACTGTTAGGGCAGTGTGAAAAGTATCTGCTTAATCACTACTACTAGTACTAGTGCTACCACGACTAACTACTAATGAAGCATCAGTACAATGGGTATGTTTATATAAGTTATTGAGTTCCAATAATTACCTCTTCCAGTGGGGGGGATGATGGCTACCACCCACACTTTCTTTTTCTTTTTTTTAAGATTTCTTTATTTATTTGAGAGAGAGAGAGAGAGAGCAGGAGGAGTAGGGGCAGAGGGAGAGAGACAATCCAAAGCAGACTCCAAACTAAGTGCAGAGTTTGATGCGGGGCTCCATGCAGGGCTCAGTCTCACAACCCTGAGATCAAGACCCGGGCCAAAATCATGAGTTGGCTGCTCAACGAACTGCGTCACCCAGGCGCTCCTACCACCCACACTTTCAAAAGTGTCCTTGAGCTCAGAGTTATAGATGTTGGGTGTAAGTGAAGTTTGGATAGTAGAAGAAGGGAAGGTAAAGGAGAGAGGCATTGAAACGTTCAGATTAATAAATACTGAGAGAGATAATATTAAAGAAAGCCATAGCAAAGTAGGTAGGGCCCATTACAGTTTTAGCTTTTATACAGTGGTTTAGAAATATTAATCAGAATCTATGTCCCGTAGCCATTGCTTAGTAGATGCTTAAGTAATACTTAGTTAATGAAAATATATTTTTTGTTGTTATTTATGCCTCCTCCTAATATCTTTCTTTGTTAGACTGTCACTTAAGTTAGTGGTTACGGAACAATAGCATTCTGTAACTGTCAGAATATGCTTCTTACTTTCTGATATTATGTATCAGTGAGGTATCTCACACTAGGGATGTGGTGATCAAAGTATTACATTTTTTAAAGAT